TTTATGGATCTAAGAAGAATTGTTGAATTTTTACTTTGTTCAGCTTTTTACATAGGATGGAGTGGTAACTTCCAAGCTCTTTATATATTAGATCAGACTTTAAAAAAATTAAGTAACTGATATTGTGCTAAAACAATCTAATAGGAAAAATCATCAAGATCTCTACTCTATAAGTGTAAATCTGAAATATATGGACCATAAACAAAAAGAAAGGAATAGTCACTGTATACTTTCTACATGAGCTCTACCTATATATTCTTGTCTGTCAACCACATTGTCTTTTCCTAAAGCCCAAATTTAAAATAGTAAAATAACAAATACATTTAAAACCTAGTGCCTATATTTTGGTCTGAAATGGTATTCTCCATTAAAAAGCACTAAGAGTTCTTGGAGAATAACTGATTCCATTTCCTAGAGATTAAAAAAAAAAACAGAAAGAATTTCAAGGTGGGTCTAAATCATCTTGTTCTAAGAATAAAGGATTTTTAAAAGGCTTTTAAAATTCTGGATGGTGTTAAAAATCATAATCAACCTTTCCCAATAGCCAAATATGACAATTTGACCATCAAAAATAAACACATTATAGTTACTTAATTTTAGGTTAGGAATAAAAAATCAGATTTAATTGTTCATAATGTACATTTTCAATCCCTAAGAACTTCACAATATGTTAGGAGAAAACAGGGACCCTCCTCTACCACAGAGCTAGTTTTTACATTTTTTACTTTAATTTTATATATTTGTCATGTCCAAATAATGCATATATTTGTATATGTACATTATGAATCATAACATGAATAGTACATCCATCACCCAAAATTAGAGAGAGACAGAGAAAGAAAGATATAACTTGGCAATTTCTTTGGTGCTCTCCAATGGCTTGCTCTGACGTAATGAACAGAATCAAACAAAAATGATCTTGGGTGTTCTCTCTGTATCTTCTTGGGGAACCAGACAATATGGCCTAGATCTCTTGTCTCCCCATAAGAAGGACTGCATATGAACTCAGGTGGCCATGGTACTATTACTTTCTTCCAACTGAAGTTTCCCATGTGAGTCAAGTCCAAAGTATCAAGTCCCCAGATACTGGGTAGTTGACTTTCTTGGACAGGTCTTATAGTTGCACCTAAACCAAGACTAGTGCCCCCAGTGATTTCCCTACTGACAAGATTCCTTTTAAGTTTGCCCTGTAAGAAGGGAGAGCCACAGAGGGATGGAATTCCTCTCCTATAATACAAATTCAGACTGAAGATCCAACACATTGCTCTGACCCCAACGTACTTCTCCTTGAGATGATGGCAGAATGGGGGAATTGTGTTTTTCTCCTTAGTTTTGTAAGTAGGCTTCCCTTTTCACCAATAAAACCTAACCTTTAACCTAGTGGTTCTTTTAAAATTATTATTTTTTAATGTTATTTTTGAGAAAGAGAGAGAGTATGAGTGGTGGAGGGGCAGAGAGAGAGGGAGAGACAGAATCGCAAGCAGGCGCCAGGCTCCGCGCTGTCAGCACAGAGCCCCACATGGAGCTTGAACTCAAGAACCACGAGATCGTGACCTGAGCTGAAGTGAGATGCTTAACCAACTGAGCCACCCAGGCGCCCTAGCCTAGTGGTTCTAACTTTGGTGTGGGCCAGATTTACCTAATGGGCTTCTTAAAACACAGATTGCTGTGTCCCACTACCAGAATTTCAGGGTCAGTAGACCTGCAATGGGGTCTGGGAATTTGCATTTCTAGCAAGTTCCCACCTAATACTGTTATTATGGTTAGGTGACCATACTCTGAGAACCTCTATCTTAAATCATGCACTGTGTCTATGTGGAAATCAGCTCTGTTGTCTACCACAAAGGATCCCGTTGGCACAAGCTTCACCTAGGAGTTAATCATTGTCCTTTATTCTCCTCTACTTGGTTTTATAGTTTTATCATATATGTAGGAATCCTTAACCAATAGATTTAGTTTTATAAAAGTTTTATAAAAATGGCATTTTTATTAAGGGTCTCATATGATTTATTCTTTTCACTCATCCATCCAGTGTATAGATATAATTAATTCATTTTCACTGTTTTGTGATATCATTGTGTGAATATAACTACTGATGGACATTTGGCTTGTTCTCAGGTTTTTGCTAGGAAATTGGTATGAAAGCTGCTTCTTTAATCATAGAATTAACCTTGCTTTTTGAAAGGACTCAGTCTAGAGGGAACTCTCCCTCCCTTAGACCTTTCCCTAAATTCTAACATCTTCTTCCTGAGACACCTATGGTGTGTCTTCTACCTTGCTAAGTAAGTAATGAACTCAGCTTGTTCAAGTACATGGGCCTCTGTGGTCTTTGGCTGAAGGGTTATATATCAAATATCTTAACAATCCTTGTTGTGCCTTTTAGTGAATACCAGTTCTTAATTTTAGTTCAAGTTTTCAATGTTTTCCCTTTATAGTTGGTGCTTTTATGTCATATTTAAGAATTCCTGTTGGGGCACCTGGGTGGCTCAGTCGGTTGAGTGATCAACTTCGGCTCAGGTCATGATCTCACGATTTGTGAGTTAGGGCCCCGCGTTGGGCTCTGTGCTGACAGCTCTGAGCCTGGAGCCTGCTTCAGATTCTGTGTCTCCCTCTCTCTCTGCCCCTCCCCTGCTCATGCTCTGTCTCTCTCTGTCTCAGAAATAAACATTAAAAAAAAAAAGAATTCCTGTCTTACTCTAAGATCATATGGATATATATTTTTAATATTCAAACTTTTGTCTTGAGTTAATCTGAAATTCATTTGTATGTATGACGCCATATGCATGTAGAAATCTAATCTCATTTTTTCCCATGTGGTAACCATTTCTCCTAGCAGCAATGTATTCAATAGCCATTCCTTTCTGTGCTTTTCCCCACTTGCATGCAGAGCCATCTCTGCCATATATCAAATTTCTATTTATATATGGGTTAAATTAGAGCTTTTCTGTTTTTAAAATGTCATAAGAAATAGTTTAAGACTTTAAGATTGAATGTTTCAAGGCTTGTGAAATACTGTTTAGATAAGTATATAAAACAATGTGTAAAAGTTAATGTTTTGTTGGTATCCGTTGATGCAATCATTCAGTAATAAACTTATCAAGTTTTTTTAAAGGATAATTCATTCACAGTGCAGAAAGTTTAGTAAGACTGTGGTAGGCTGGAGAACAATTTAAATGCAGAGGTGTGTATGTGCTTAACAAAGTGATTGCTAACAGATTTTTTTAGAGCCCCAAACAACACAAAGTATCCCTTTTACTATCTTCCATACATACATTTTCTCACTTGTATTTTTACATAGTCAGAGAATCTAGACTTTAAAATTTTATATGAAAGAAATGCATAAATCCTCTCTTTTGGAGCATAGAAAGTCTGAAACAAAATGGTAAGAGTAAGAATAGAACCAAAGGGGAGAGAATGCCAAAAGTAAGGACGAGGGAAAATAAATCTAAGAATGGCTCCCAGTATTCAAAGTTAGAGAACCTTGAGATGATAAACCCCTGACAAAATTGGGTAAGGTACTGAGGGATGTCCTGTTTGGGGGACAAGATTATATTTTTTTTCTCTCAAGTCTGCTGCTTCTAAACTTTCCTCAGGGAAATTTTCAGGAGGCTTGAAATTTGTGTTAAAAGCCTGCAAAAGTAAAAAGTTAAAAATCCAAATCCAGGGTGACTGGACGGCTCAGTCAATTAAGCGTCTGACTTTTGGTTATGGCTCAGGTCATGATCTCATGGTTCATGAGTTCAAGCCCATCAGACTCTGTGCCAACAGTGTGGAGCCTGCTTAGGATCCTCTCTCTCCCTCTCTCTCTGCCCCTCTCCTGCTCTCTCTCTCAAAATAAATAAACTTTAAACTCCAAATCTGTAGGTGGCAAGTAGTTCATAGGTGCTTAAATTTCATGTAAATTCATTGTGTTCTTATCTTCTTTTTTAAGCATCAGATTCCAGTAACTTATATTCTGAGTCTAGAGAAAGTAGCCTGGAGAAAAATAATTGGAATAGGAGTTAAGAGATCATAATTTTAATCACAATTCTGCCACTCATGTATGTGGGCAGAGGGTTAAGTGTGTGGGCCTCAGATTCCTTAAATATGCAGGATGAACTACATCACTTTCATATCTCCTTCCGGAGCTAAAGTTCTAAGTCTCCTTAAGCAATTGTAAAATGTACCCATGCAAATCCATGCTATCCTACAGCTTAGTTGCAGCCAAGCATTCGTCATATCAGTCATAGAGTGATTTCTCCCTAGGTCTCAAACCATGGAGTGAACCCGATCTACACTCTTTTGGTGGTGTTAAGGTTGATAGGATTTGGAGCACTACAAGAGTAAGGCCAAGCTCCTAGGCCAGGATATCGGTCTGATCAGGAAATCTCCAAAACAGGAACACCAAATGATGCTCTGACAGCCTCCATAGTAACAAAAGGCCAGTGTTGCAAGACGCATGGGCTCACACCTGCTTCTCCCGGGTCATTCTTTCCAGTAAGGGCACATCTTTTTCTTTCTTTCTTTTCTTTTTTTAAAATTAAATTAAATTAAATTAAATTAAATTAAATTAAATTTTATTTATTTATTTAATGTTTATTTTTGAGACTGAGACAGAGCAGGAGCAGAGAAAGGGAAGACACAGAATCCAAAGCAGGCTCCAGGCTTCTAGCTGTCAGCACAGATCCCCATGGGGACTCAAACCCATGAATCCTAAGATCATCATCTGAGCTGAAGTGGGATGCTTAAGAGACTGAGCCACCCAGGCTCCTCCTCCCACCCCCCACCCCCCCCCTTTTTTTTTCCATTCACAGGCGCAAGGCTTTTTTCTTAAGACGAAGGCCTATTTCTTTGGTGATTCACTCAGACCGCAGGTACCGGATAAGAGCCAGAGAGGTGGCATCACCGGCGGCAAGATGCCCCGGCAGTCACAAGAGAAGCTCACGGGGCGATGACAAGGCGGTGGAAGGGGCGCGCCCGGGGCACGCTGGGAACGCGGGGCGCCGCAGCCGGGCCTGACCCGGAAGGGCTGGCGCTTGGTAACCCCGGCTTCCCTAGCAACCGAGCAGGTGCTTGTCCTAAACAGCTGAATCCTCGGTTACTACCGCCTCCCGAGATGCCTCTGCAGGTTAGCGATTACACCTGGCAGCAGACGAAGACTTCGGTGTTTATCTCTGTGCCCCTCCGAGGCGTCTCCGTCAGAGATGCGGACGTGTTCTGCACGGAAAACTATCTGAAGGTAGGAACTCGAGCTGTGCCTGAAGGGCCCTCGGGGACGTGATCCGAAGACTCCATGGGCGCGTTGTTGCAAATAAGCGTCCTAAAATTTAGTTCTATTTTTTCAAACCGAATTCCATCAGGTGACAACTCATCTTTAGACAGATGTCATAAGATCAGACCTTATTCTTATCTAGGATTTCCTCATATGCCTTGTTAATCTTATGGGACCTCGAATAAATTTATAGCAGGCATGTCAGAAAATGATTTTGGCCCCTATCCCTTTTTTTTTTCCTTAAAGGCTTAGTCTTTATTTTGTGTAACTAAACTAACCTCCGTTTACCCCCCCCCCCTTCTGAATAGGTCAACTTTCCTCCATTTTTATTTGAAGTGTTTCTCTGTGCGCCCATAGATGATGAGAACAGCAAAGCCAAGATTGGGAATGACACTATTATATTCACCTTATATAAAAAAGAAGTGGCCATGTGGGAAACCCTTTCACTGTCAGGTGGTAAGTGTTTTTATTCAAAGGTGTTCATCTGGTTGTGTGTTTTGTACTTTATACCTTTAAAAAAAATTCTCTTTCAAAACAGTTGTTTTTTTAGTAGAAAAAAATAGGAACATGAACATGGTTTAAATGATATAGTGCTTCAGCTGACACTTAAGATAAATTAAAGATTGAATAATTCAAAAGTTAGAGCGCATTTGTATTAGTTCTCAAGCAGATGTGGACTTGTATCTTCAGAGGCTAAGGTCTCTTGATATGACCTTATTTTGTGTAGGCATTAACACATCTGGTAATCCTAGGAACACCCTATTAGGTTACCATCCCCTGCCCTGCCAGTTTTTTGTTTTTGTTTTTTTTTAAGGTTAGGCTACCGAGGCACGGAAGGGTTGAATAATTGGCACAGGTCACACAACAAGTAAGTGGCAGACTGGAACTGCAGCCCTAGCAGTTTGACTCTAGAGCAGTGATTCTTTGACTCATCTACAAAACTTTTAAATAACACAGATGTCTGAAACTCAGCCTAGTTCAATCAAATCAGTTTATGGGAGTGCGATACAGGTATCGGCAGTTTCAAAAAAACTTCCCAGGGATTATAATGTACAAAGCTGAGATTCCCTGTTCTCTATTCCCTTAATAAGTACTCTGTTCTTCTACCAAGATTGGCTTTGTGGGTCAGTAATTGCCCTCTACTGCTTTACCTCTATTTCCTTCCTCCCTGTTGTAGTTGTCTTATATTCTAGGGGTTTATATCTGTTGTCTGAAATTTCTCTTAGGTCTCTGGCGTTAAGCCTTGAGTAGGAATTACTGAGAATGGGGAGATGAATATCATTCTTGATATTACTCTTTTCTTGGTATTTTGCAGTGGAATTTAATTTTGTAATCCCCAGGACCAGGTAGATTTTTCTCTAAAGTCTGGTGTTCAGCTCAGAAAATACTGGTTAAGGTAGGTTACCATACTGAGGTTACTTTAATTCTTGAGTGATTGCCAGACTAACTGAAGAGTTTTTTTTTTTTTCTTTCCTAACCATGATCTTCCTCTTTGTTTTTTACATATGCTTTCATTGCACATTTACTTGATTCTTCTTTTTCATGGTCTTATGGTCATCCATTCCACACTTTGACCATTTAAACCAAGGTTTAAGGGGCGTCTGGGTGGCGCAGTCGGTTAAGCGTCCGACTTCAACCAGGTCACGATCTCGCGGTCCGTGAGTTCGAGCCCCGCGTCGGGCTCTGGGCTGATGGCTCAGAGCCTGGAGCCTGTTTCCGATTCTGTGTCTCCCTCTCTCTCTGCCCCTTCCCCGTTCATGCTCTGTCTCTCTCTGTCCCAAAAATAAATAAACGTTGAAAAAAAAAATAAACCAAGGTTTAAGAAATATTTTTCTATATAGGACCAGATAATATTTTGAATATTATGGGCCATATGGTCTCAAAAGCAGCCAATAGACCATTCATGTTTATTGACACTGAAATTTGAATTTTATCTTGTTTATATGTCACACAATATTATTTTGATTTTTCAACTATTTAAAAATATAAAAATTATTCTTAGCTTGTGTGCTAGAGGAAAATGGGCAGCAGGTCAGATTTGGCCGTAGTTTCCCAACCTCTGATTTAGACTAATCAGAACAGTCTTAAAACTAGCTTATATAACAAGTAATGAACATTGATTTTACTTCAGAAACAAGGTTTGAGATTCCTTTAGAAATCAAACTCAGTTACACATGCAATTCAGTGAAATTATTTCTTTAAAAATACTGGTTTTCACATAAATTATGTGGAACTGCAGTCTATATGCCAAGCCTGCCTCATTATTCAAAACATATTTGCTCCATTTTTTCCTCCTGACTTCTTTCTTGGTATATTTTTCATTTTTTAGAAGTGAAAGTAGGTTCTTTTAATTATTTTTGCCCTTAAAGCCAGTCCAGCTGTCTCCACTCTGTTATTAAACAGGAAGTGGGTTGGGGGAGGCTTCAGACTTAATTTTAGTCCTTAAGCCCTAGTCAAGATCTTGAATAAATAAAAATGCCATGCTTTTTTTTTTTTTTTTTCTTTTTAAGACAGTTTCTTTCAAAGTTAAAATTCCAGGGGAGCCTGGGTGGCTCAGTCAGTTAAAAATCTGATTTGTCATCATTTTGGCTCAGGTCATGATCTCACAGTTCATGGTTTTGAGCCCCATGCTGGGCTCTGCACTGATAGTGTGAAGCCTGCTTGGGATTCTTCCTCTCCCCCTCCCTCTGCCTCTCTCCACCTCTCTCCCCCCTTCTCTCCCCCCCATCTTCCCCCCTCTCTTCCCCCCTCCCCTTCTCCCCCTTTCCCCTTCTCCCCCTCTCCCCTTCTCCCCCTCCGTGTCTCCGTCCCCCCAATAAATAAGTAGACTTAAAATTTGTTTTTAATTCCATACTTTTTTTTTGGAACAACAGGCAAAAGTTTATTAAAATATAAGATTAGAAAGCAAGAATAGTAGCAAAGCTATCTTTGCAGAGAGAGAGGATTGCCCCTAATTCAATTGAACCTCCACTGAAATTTAGCATTCCCTTCAACTATGAATGTAGGCAACAGACAACAGTTGTATCAAAAATACAAATATCACAAATAAATTTATATCACAAGTACCTTTATCTTTTATACTCATTGAAATACTTTGAGAGTATAGTATTTATTACACTTGTTGTTATATATTATTTAATGCATTAATGAAGAAGCACATGTTAGTACATCACACACACACAAAAAAAACCCTCCTCTTGTAGGAGACCTAATGTGATATTTATTGTGATTAGGTTTATAAGCAAATAGTCCTGGTTTCTTGACAGAGAGGGAGGGGGATAAATGTGTACATTTCCCTCCATCCTGTCCCCTCCCCCTCTCTGCACGTCTTTCCCTCTCTCATTTCATTACCCTTTCTCTCACTTTTATGTCCCTCTCCCCATCCTCATCATTCCCATCTTATTCACCTTTTCTGTTGTTCCTACTTTCTCTCATCCTCCTCCCCCACGCCCCGTCATTATCTCCCTCTGTAGTAATTTATTGCTGTTACAGTTGCTTGCTTGCCTTTTAATGTTAGCTTCTTGGCCAGTTTAATATTGAAAAATGTTTTCATTTTTCCATGTGAAATTGGGTCCCTCCCAAAATCTCATCTTGGATCAGTATGTCAGACAGTTTTTTCCTAAATAAAGCATTCATCATAATCCTAATTTAGTGATATTTCTTATGTTTTAGTTGACAAAGAGATGATGCAAAGAATAAGGGAAAAATCTATTTTACAAGCACAAGAAAGAGCAAAAGAAGCTACAGAAGCAAAAGCTGCAGCAAGGCGAGAAGATCAAAAATATGCACTAAATGTTATGATGCAGGTAAGTTGCAGATTGATAGGAAAGTCCTCTAATTAAAGAGATAATAGTAAACTGTGTAAGGATAATTTATTACAATCACTGTACTTCCTCAAGTCTTTGTTCATGCTTTGGTTATAGGACTTATGATGTTATGTAGGCTATCTACACTTACATGTGTTCCTGAAAATCTATATGAAAATGGAGGATATAAAGATTGAACAATAGATTTACTTGTTTCAGGAAGAATGTTCTTTTTCCAAGGTAGTAAAAAAATGGTAAGGTTGTATGATAGAAGTGTTTTACTTATTTTTAAATCTTGAAATAATGGACATGATTATTTAAAACAAGAAGAGTCTTGAGGTGCCTGAGTGGCTCAGTTGGTCCGACTGTTGGTTTTGGCTCAGGTCATGATTGCACAGTTTCTGAGTTCAAGCCTTGCATCAGGCTCTGGACTCTGCTGTCAGTGGGGAGCCTGCTTGGGATTCTCTCTCTTTTCCTCTCTCTTGCTCCTCCCCCACTGCTCTCTCAAAATAAATACATAAACTTAAAAAAATTTAAAAAAAAGAGCCCAGTTAAACACTAAATATTGACATATTAGTATCTTTTTTTAACTGTTGAGGCTTTCAAGTTAAAGCTTTTAATCAGCAATATATTTTTTGAGATGTAATTCACATACCATACAATTGACTCATGTAAAGCTTATAATTTATTAGTTTGTTGTATATTTAGAGATGTGCAGCTATCACCACAATCAATTTTAGGACATTTTTATCACCTCAAAAAGAAACCATGTGCCCATTAGGAGTCACTCACCATTCTTCCCATCCACTCCAGCTCCAGGCAACCAGTAATCCACTTTCTGTCTTTATAGATTTACCTATTCTGACTAATTTTTACAAGTAATTTTTTTTATTAAAAAATTTTTTTTACATTTATTTTTGAGAAACGGAGACAGAGCATGAACAGGGAGGGGCAGAGATAAAAGGAGACACAGAATCTGAAGCAGTCTCCAGGCTCTGACAAGCTGTCAGCACAGAGCCTGACAAGGGGCTCGAACCCATGAACCCATGAACTGTGAGATCATGACCTGAGCCGAAGTCCAATGCACAACCAACTGAGCCACCCAGGCACCCCTTTACAAGTAATTTCTTATCTCTATTCTCATGTTGACATCTTGAAATGATTAAGGAATCTATAACTAGCATTTCATGAAGAGCTGTGTGGATCCAAGTCTCTTCTTTTGTATTTGGATTACTACTATTTTATTCATAATGAACAGTTCATAATTCCAAAGGTTTCTCCACTTCTTTCATTACTTCTACTTGACTTTATATATATGTGTGTGTGTGTATACATATATATATAGAGAGAGAGAGCACGTGCGTGCGTGCACCTATGGTTATATACTTTGTCTTTTACTTGAAAACTGAACACATGGTCAGCTGACCAAAGATTCCTGCTTTCAGTATATTTGAGTTCCATCTTTTCTTTATTGTGTTATTGCTGCTATCAGCCTTTTGATTTTATCATTTTCCTGAATTTTAAAAAATAAAAGCAAAATAATATAAAATTTGTGGTAACGGACAAACACATACTGAACTAATAAAATAGTTAAAATAATGGTATGCATTCTGCTGTATTGGTAAAATAATAAACCTAGCAGTACCACCATGTTATGTCTCGAAGTTATTAGTATACTGATATCTGAAAGCCTGACTTTGGTATTTGGAAAGATGGTTTTAGGGGTGTTAGTGTATAAAATGTGAAGCTATAGATTATGTTAAAGTGGATAGAACCTATGGTAAGTCTATAGCCTTTACTCCAAACTGTCCATGTTGTTTGTTTCTTTCCTTCAATAGAATTCAGAGTTGGGATTATGTTTTCTTTCTTCCTTATTATAGCCATTGCCAAGTTAAATAGTAGGTACTCAAATATTTGAATTAATTAATGTGAATACCTTGCTCTAATACCCTGTGACAGTAGCAACATTCTAGGTTGATGGATAGACACAGATTTTTTTTTTACTCTGTCTGATGTTAGACATTCAGAAAAGAACTCTCATGATTCAGTGAGAGTAGATGAAGAGATACAACAACAAAAGGCAACATGTTATTAGCTGAAACCAAAAAATTAACTTAAAATTTGAATTACATCTCAAAAAAGAACAGTTTTTAGTAGTAATCTTTTAAAAATAATTAGCAGGGCTGGTGCTAAGACTCATTATAATGTTAGTTCACTGTGCTGTATTAGTCTGCTTGGGCTACCATAACAAAATACCACAGATTGGAAAGCTTAAACAACAGACAGTTCTAACAGTTCTGGAGTCTCGAAGTCTCAGATTGAGGTCCAGCAAAGTCAGTTTCGGGTGAGGAGTCTATTCTGGTTTGCAGTTGGCAGAGAGAGAGAAAGAAAGAGAAAGAGACAGAGAGAGAGAGACAGAAAGAAATCAGGTGTCCCCTCTTACTAGGACACTAATCCTGTTCTATCCGGCCCCACCCTTATGACCTCATCTAACCTTAATTACTTCATCAAAGGCCTGTTTTCCAAATATAGCTACCCTGGGGATTAAGGCTTCCACAGATTAATTTGGGGGCACAGAAACACCCAGTCAATAACACTGTGTAATAAACTATCCAAAATTTAGCGACTTAAAGGCACAAATACTTATTTCTCAACATTCTGTATGTTGGTGAGGCATTTTTTTGTGGTTTGGGGCTGGATTTGTTATGGCTGGATATTCTAGAATGGCCTCGCTCAAGTGTCTGAAACCTTGCCTGGAATGTAAGCTTGAATAAGCGCTTTTAAAGCTTTTGCTGTATCATATTTACTAATGTTTCATTAGCCAAAATATGTCATATCGCAAGCTCAGATTCAAGGGCTGGAGAAAGACTACACCTCTTCTAGGAAAGAGTGATTAAATCACATTGTAAAGGGGCATGCATATAGGGATGGGAGGAATTTGGGGCCACTTTGCAAGTTCAGTGATAAAGCAGTGATCAGATGTAGTTCATTCAAGGCTCTGATTCCATCTGTCTGCATCATCTTTAGCACTGAATTTTCTTTGTGTCTATTTTATCCTAGGCTGATGATCTACATCGGCATATAACAAGGCCCAGTGGAAGACAGGCTATTTTGTTGGCTCCCTTGTAAACCCATAAAACAATTGCTTTAGATGTTATAAAGTGATATTAGAAATGATAATCAGTTTGACACCTGTTCACATGAATCATGAAGTCTTTGTTGCTTCAAACTTATTTTACAGGATCAGCTCTTCACTATCTTTGCTGCTGATCTATCATTTGTTCACTTTATAGTCATTTGTTGAATACTGTGAAAGGTGTTGCTACAGAGTTGAACAAGTCAGTCTTCACTTTCAGTTTACTCATGGTGCAGAGAAAGTGACAGGAGAGAAAAACAGATTGCACCAGAGGATGCATGAGAGGTCATGGGAGGATAAAAAGAGAACACTGACAAAAGACTGGTATCTCAGTCTGAGAGTATGGGCAGGAAATATGAGGCAGTGTTGTTTGTGCCCAATACTGGAGAATGAGTCACAGGTACCTGGAGAATAAATGGAAAAATTACAGACAGCTTGAATAAGCACATGACAGAAAGTGGCACAGTGAGGGAACATTTGTTGGTCAGAAATAAAATCTTAATATTTTGAAAATTTGCCTGAAGGTAATGGGGCACTCTTTAGCAATTTTCAGCAAGAATATCAAATTAATAGGGTTTGTATTTTGGAAAAGTTCATTCTGGCTATTGAGTGTGAAGTGCTTGTAGTGTGGAGGCAGAACTTTTGTATTTTTAAGATGGAAAGACTTTGAACATATTTACATGTTGAATAAGAGGCCAGTAAAGGAAAGGTTGATAATACAACCAAAGCCGGGAATTGATGATGATGGAATGGGTGGAATGAAGGTGAACCAGTGAAAAAATTACTCTTAAGTAATAGCAGGATATATTTTTTAAATATTTATTTACTTTGGAGAGACAGAGTCGGGGGGAGGAGAGAGAGAGAAGGAGAGAGAGAGAAGTGGAAGGGGCAGAGAGACAGGGAGAGGATCCCAAGTAGGCTCCACACTGTCAGCGCAGACCCCCAACTCGGGGCTTGATGTCATCAACTATGAGATCTGAGCCAAAATCAAGAGTCTGATGCTTAACCGACTGCTCTACCCAGTTGCCCTGCGGGATATTTTATCTTTTGACACTAGAGGGCAGGGCTAAGGAATAACTAAGTATTTGGAAAATTCTTAAGTACACAGATAGTTAAAAGAATCCTTTTTTTTTTCACCCCTCAGGATGAAGGAGGCAAGAGGGAAAGAGATTGAGGCAGAGTTATAGGCTTTGAGGTGATTAATGAAAGTTTGGAATACAGATGCCAAACTAATCTGAAACATGCTCTATTGGACAGTGTTGACTGCTATTGCCTAGTTTTCCTATCTTATTTACTATTTTGTTTTATAGATTGCCCTATTCTCTTTTGAGTTTTCCTTTTGTTTTCTACTTCAGGGTAAGTACTACTTGACTTTTGTCCTCTGAACTTTTAGCCTAGGTAGATACATTTTGAGGTGCTTTCTTTTTCTTAAAGATAAAACCCAGAAATCTCAACCTGTGAAACAAATTTTGCCTAATCATGCAGATGAAGTATGAGTTGCTTTCTGGAGTTGTCTAGATTATACTATAGTGCCTTAAAAAGTTCTTATCTGGGGGGGTTGATTTCAGCTCAGGTAATGATCCTGGGGCCCAGGGATTGAGCCCCGTGTCAGGCTCCGTGCTGACAGCACAGAATCTGCTTGGGATTCTCTCTCTCTCTCTCTCTCTCTCTCTCTCTCTCTCTCTCTTTCTCTTTTTCTCTCCCTCTCCCTCCGTCCCTCAATCCTTCCATCCCTCCATCCATCCCTGTCTCCTGCTCACTTGTGCCTCTCTATCTAAAATAATGTTAAAAAAAATTCTTATCTGTGAAACCACATACACTGTTTATTGGAAGAGTGTACAATATACAAAAATACCGCAAGGAA